CTTGCTTTGCCCTTGTGAGAGCACTAAGGAGTGTGCCCTCCACATCACTTGATGGTCCTTCCCCCTCATGCTGCTACCTTGCTGGAAATACTTTGCCAGTCCAGAAACTACTACAAATATAAAGCAAATAACTGTTTGTGGCAGCCAGCTAGAGTAGAGGGAGGGCAGTACATAGGCAGGCTCCAAATCCTTGTTCCCATTATACTGTATAGACTATACTAATTTTTTTGTCAAAACGGCCCTGGGACATGACCAGGAGCTCAGCACCTGCTTTTCCTAGAATGGTGGGGCTAGAGAATGATGCTCTCTTCTGCAGGCTCTTTTCCTGGTGAGACATTGAATCCTCTTCTAGCATGTCTTAAAGACATGGTATACATTTCCCCAAATTGTTTCTTAGTGAATAGTGAGGCCAGATCTGTAAGACATGAGAGTTGAAACCCTTCCTCCACTATGGTGGGTAACAGCAGGGTTTTCCCTAAAAACTACCCAATGTAGCAGTGAATTTTACAAACCCAGATCATTTAGTGGGTCTGGTGGATCAGATCACAGAATCACAGAATATTAGGAGTAGGAAGGGACCTCGAAAGATCATCCAGTCCAACCCCCCTACCAGAGCAGGATCACCTAGACTAGGTCACACAGATGATGCATCCATCCTCTGCCCATACTGAGCGCCAGAACTCTCCCAAGGAAAGTGCAGGGAGTACAATGAACGGACATGGTGCAATTGCCTCCTCCCCAGAGACAAATTTCTTCCTAATCCTCATCAGTTCCTGGTTGGATTTTGCCTTGAAGCTGAAGGACTTATATCTTTTATAAGCATTTTTCCTATTTGCACAACAATCCAGAGTTCTCCTTAAAAACATTCACATTAAAAAAAAAAGAAAAAGAAAAACAAAAAGACATGATTAGGACAACCTAATCAAGTTCAAATTAGATCAGCACATTCTGGGAACACATGTAGCAGGTTTCCTGAACACGTCCTGTCTCTGGAGCCCGGGTGATCCCTAAGGCCCTGCTCCACCAGGGCCATCCCACCAGCTCTGTAATGCGCAAACAGCAGCAGCAACCAGCAGCAGTGCAGAACCCAACACCTCCTGTAAATCCCACTATCACCAGGTGGGGACAAAGGCATGTGGATTCACAGCTACAGAACCTTTTATTATCAGGTTTGATTGGGCTTTGGAGCTGACTGCTATGAGATCTCAGCTTCCTCTTACCCCCTCACAGTCCAGACACTTGAGGGCAGTGAGAGCATCCCAAATTTGCACCACCGAATGCTCCAGCACTGTCTGCAAGGCCTCATCATCCTGATACACTCAGCAGATGCCAACTCAAACAAGAAACAGTGAGCACAGCACAGATGGGGGAAATGGGTTTCTCCCTGTGTGCCGATGGAGACAGAGCGGCACGTGGCACCGGCCCCGCAGCCCCTCCTCACCCGAGAGGCACTGAGCCGGGACAGCAGACCGCTGCAGGTGCGGAAAAGCCACAGAGCTCACGTCTCCCCGCAGATTTCCTATGTTCCTTCCAAAGTCACAATATTTTAATTGATATTTCTTGTGAGAATTCAACAGGTGCAACATAAATCCCATGGATTGTGCTGAATCCAACAAAACCTTGACTTTCATTTTGGAAGGAGGGAGGGGGAAGAGGAGTTTTCTTGCTCTTTGGGTTTTTAGCCTTGAGCTACAGGAGACAGAAAAAATGCTGTATTTGCTCAGAGTGCTGCCAGATTAAAATAAACAGCTATTCGTCTTATTTTTCTGAAAGGATGGTTAACTCATTGAGAAAATCTCATTGACTGTAGAAATACATTAAATTATAGCAGAATTACAGTAGGGACAAACTTGGCTTTTCCTTATGGGCCCTGGAGTGAGGGGTAAAAGCTCCGACATCCATTTCTGCCCCTTCACACATACTGGGCAAGGCAGATGGACCAACAGCAGTGTCAGGAGGAGAACCTCTGGATTTATGGATACACACAAGAATCATGTTAAAAGCAGGTAACAGACCCATTCTGCCATGGTTTTAATTATGAAGTGAGAGGTGCTAGTGGTAACGAAGGCAGATGTCACAGCATATGATTTCTTTAGCATTAAGTTGTGATGTCTTTCTTCTTGGTTTACTCTCTACTTGACTGATGGCTCAGTATCTTCAGGGCTCCACATGGTGCATAGATAAACAATGAGCAGATAGGGAGGCAGATACTAGAATAAAAGACAGACTTGCACTTCTCTGTATAATATTTCTCTAAGAAAATTCCTGATAAGGGTTTGTTACAGGGTTTGGATGTTTTTATGTTTTGGTTTTAAAAAAGTTTTATAAAATATTAATCCACCACAAAACTTTAGACTACCTAACAAGACCATATTTCTAACACTTAGGAAGTGAGCAAGCTGATAAACTACAAATCTGTTTTTCTTTTCCATTTTCCTGTTGCTACTTCTCCGCTCTTTCACCTCATTTGAAGTTTGGTTTGTGTGCGAGGCATGGGTCCTGCACTGGTTCCAGGCTAGTCTGATAGTCCCTGATAGGAAGGAACAGAAGTCTGTCTGCTGACAGATGTCTGTCAACTGATGGATCAGGTTTAAACCTTTAGGAAAGACACAGAATGTCTTTTAAAGTCAATACTAATGCATAGCACCACAAAAACAGCAACAGCAAAACTACTGGTAGTAGTAATATAATATAATGTTGTTATAATAATAACAACGAACTTTACTGAAATCATGCTGAAGATCTTTCAGTCCCTATTTTTATTCTAATTTCACTTATCACAGTGAGATGTGTCATCTTTAACGAAGCAATAACATTAAACTAGGTAGAAGGGACAACCCCTCCATTCTTTCTATTATATGTACCAAAAGGGAAGAAATGGCGCTTTTTTTTTCCCATAGGAAATCTAAGATTTTCATTGAGGATGAAAAGTTGAAATCTCAAAAGAATGTTCTAAGTTAAAATCTAAAGCAACTCAAAACTCAAAATATAGATCAGGACAAACAAAGCACCTAACTCCTGCTTGGTGTCATTTTTGTATAACTTGCTTAAGTGCAGGCTGAAAAATATCACATTAAAAAAAGGAAAAAACCCTTAAAATATATGCTTAGATGTTTTAATGCTTTATTCTGACTTTCTAGAAATTTTTTCCTGATTTTTTTAAATGAAAAATTACGAAAACTGATGTTTTCAAACAGATGGTGTATATTGATTAATCCAAAATTTTTGACAAAAAGACAATTTAGGGGAAGTTCCTGCTTAATTCTACCTCATCTTTGCCCTCCTCTAAAAGCCCAAGGAACTGTAATACCTGGCTCTTTTACTGTATGGGTCCCAGAACACGTCACTGTGGGAGTCAGCATCATTTTCCTAATTTCCCATGGTGGAAGAGCGAGAGACTTGCCCCAGGACAAGCAGCAGACCAGCTATGGAGCTGAAACAAGAACGTTCCCTGCTAGTTCCAGCTTGGTGCTCTTTAGTCTTTGCTGTGTGACCAAAAAATGAGCTTTCACACTGATAGTTTATGTCTAGCCCTGAGATGGGATTGATACACCTGATTTAGTGAGAGATGGTGACAGTAAGGCCCTGCTCAGAGGAGCAGGAGCAAAGACCCTTCTCCAGAGGGAATTGCTGTGAGATGTCCTGCCAAGTGACTGAGGCAAGGAAGGAGGGTCCAAAGAGAGAAGGACTGAGCAGGTCCCTCCTGATTTCCCCTTCACAAAGCGTATCTGTCTCAATTTATAAAGAACTCAAAGCCGAGAGAATGCTACCTAAAATTTAATGGGGGAGCAAATGGAAAGTTTAGATAAATGTCTTTCAAGAAAAAATAATGAGCAGAATTACAGTAGAAGCAGTTGCTACATGGGTAACGCAAAATATTTGACAAGGAAAACATCTGAGAAGAAAGCACAAGGGTAGAGCTATTATAGCCTCTGAGGCCTTTTCCCTCAGACTTCTTATTTTATAACATATTTCTAAAACACAACACCCACAACTGTTTTTCTTCATCTATCAAAGCATAAAATTGCCAGTCCTTTGACCTAACTTAAATCAAGGAAGTAGCAATGTTAGGTTTAATTAAAAACAGCAAATATTTGTACAGCTGTCCCTGGTTTCACAGCACAGAAATAGGTTTAGCATCAAATCTTAGAGTTTTAAATCCTCTGGGAACCATATACAAAAACATATAGGATCCTTCTGGCTGACTTGCCAAAGTCAAAAATGCCTTTTTTTGGAGTTATTTCAGGTGGGGCTCATTCAGCCTTCCCGTTTCCAACCCACTGTTTTCCTACTTGAATTTTTTTTTCTTTTTTCCATGCTCCAAATGCGGTACTGTCAGCTTGACAGGTTTGGATGCATTTGATGCATTTTGGGGTTGTGAATAATAACAGTAGTAATAAAACTGAGGGTAGGCTGAGAAGTTTCTACTTATCAGCAGCTGTTGCTTTTTGGTGGAAACTCTGATGGCTTTTCCAGTGGTCTCTGCCTTTCAGTGTGGGTGTAACTGGGAGGCACCTGGCACGAGATGCAGGAGCATCAACCAGATCCGCACTGAACATCCCTAAAACCGGGAGGGGTTTGGAACAAAAGGTTTTGCTCCTGGCCCTTTCTCTACTTTTAAATTACACATCAAAACACGTTGTAAAATCCTTCAGCACCAAACTTTATGGTGCAGCCTCCAGAGGACTGACTCCATGTGTACCTCACCCCCTGGCATGGGCCAGCCTTGGCAAGCTCGCTCCCAGCAGGGACCACGGGAGGATTTACACCACCTTACACAAAAGATTCGGTGGCCCCAAACTTTGCACCTACCCATTTGTCCTTCACAGGGATCTGCAGGTTTCAAGCTGCTGAACTGGCCCAGGGGAGCTGGAGAGGTGGGTGGGGTGGGCGACCACACACCATGGGCCAGAGATAAGAGGGAAGAGGGAGGGAAGGGGCCAAACTGGGTTTAAAATGCTGCACCCAGGTCTGGAGTGGAAGGTGAGGTGGGAAGGCTGATGGCTTGTCCAGCTGCTCTGCTTGTGTCCATGGGGCACCAGTCAGGGGCTCTCCAAACCCTCCGGACTGCCGCAGCACCCCATCATCCCCACAGCCTCCAGCAGCCTTCCCACACGCAAACCCTCAGCGCTGGCAGGTCTGGCCCAGCTTGGCACAGCCCAGGAGAGGAGATGGAGGTGTTCAAGCCTGGTCGGGCTCAGGAGCTGGAGGAAGAAAGAAAAGCCCCAGGGAAGAGCCCTAAGCAAGGAGACGAGAGTGGAGACCTGGCTCCTTTCAGCCCAGGTGGGCTCAGGCCAGAGAGGCCAGCCCAGCCAGGGCTGGTGAGGCATGAGACACTTCGAGAGATGGCTCTGCACAGCAAGCTGTCCCGACTGGTAGAAACAACTTCCCGGCTTCTACAAGTAGAGCAGACTCTCCTGCTACCTCTCCTACAGCAGCATCCTCTTCCTCTCCACCCAAAAGTAAGTAAGAGAGAGACAGAAGGACTCTTATCTCAGGCTCTTGGCAGAAAGGCAGTGGGCTGCACCCATAATTACATACACTGAGTCTTGCCATGTGGACTGGAAGAGTTTAATTCACATTAATTTGCAGCTGAGTAATTTAACCCTACAGCCTGCAAAACAGAAAGCTACTGACAGTTCAGTGTAGTTGCATCACAGGGGTTCAGGGGATAAAAACACTTTTTGGCAGAATGACATAGCTTACTGACATGCTGCGTAGCCTGGAAAGATTATTTAGAGCTTTTTCAGAAGCCAGATTTATATGTCTAAATTTCTTTAAATACCCATAAAGTCTTCAACTATAAAGCTATTCTCTGATTCTAAAAGAGCCAAAAAACAACACAAAATGTAGAGATGACTGGTAACCTGTAAGTGAAACATGACTGAGCAGCAGAGACCGTGGCTGTTCCAGTTTGACACACTATATATCCAGCATATGAGACCCAATGAACAGATCCCTGAAAAAAATCCTCAGTTTTCCAGAGAATACAGTGGTTATGCATATTATCCCAGTAAGAAGTCTAAGAAAAAGCCTAGACATAGGCTTGCAATTCTTGAGTTTATTTATTGAAGTCCAATGTGTCTCCTATGTCTTGTTTTAAGTCATTTTCCTTTGGCATTACCCAAAAGCTCTTTACCTTACCATGAGTCTTGTGTGTACCATGTAGGACAAGATGGCAGTTACCCAGTTTTTAGTGGCAAAGGTGCATGCCACAGAAACCCCATTGGTAGTTCACACCAATGTCTGGGCCAGCTGAGATAAAACTAGAATCTGCTCTTCTACTTTTATGCCAACCTTCCCAGCACAGACCAGTGCAATGTGGGAAGCTAAGGGATACTGAATCAGCAAAGATATAACCACCTAACGTCTCATCTGGTGAAGAAATATTTGTGAACAAAATGTTGCTATGACTTCTGGTTTCTCAATATCATGATGATGGATTTGAGATATTGCAAGATTCTGTTTTCATATGTGCTAGATTAATGTACTGACTCCAGCTGGCTTTGTGATTATTCGCAATTTGTTAAAAATCAATCCAGGCTATCTCAAGTCAAGATACAACTCACTCATAAACTCAGTCACCAAGAATCAGAAGGAACCTTCAAACCTTTGGGTCCAAATATTTTCAGTCTCCAGGAATATCCATCTAAGAGTCCACTAGGAATAAATACACCTAGAGATGGAAGGGGAAATATTGGAAGCTATGCATGACATAAAAAGAGTGTATTAAAAATAAAACTAAATTGGTAGGCATTATTCTTCAAACATGAGAGTACAGTGACAGGTTGGACTGCTGCAATACCGATTTTCCAGTAAGACTTCTTCATTGCTCATAATTTAATAAACAAGGCTAATGACATTTGTTTTTTGTATAAACAAATGCTAGCTTGATAAAATACAGTCACCTCAGCGAAGGTTTTATTTTCTTCCTCCTCTTTCCCAGAACGTCTTTAATATCTACTTGCATGAAAGCATGTGTTTGGATACCACTGGGAATACAGTTTACTTTGGATTCTGATTTTCCTATTCTGCTTGAAGCTTAGTTAGGTTTTTTTTTCACTGAAAACACATTATCATGGCCCAGTGAGCTCTGGGACTTTCCCCCTTCCCTTCTGCAATGAGGTTACATAAATTCTGCACTAGATTTCCTCAGACCCTGCATCATGGATAACTGACCCCTTTAATTGTGAGTAGTTTCACTGCTGCAGATTTGAAGTAATTTGAATTCCAAGGGATCGATTTATATTATAACCTGTTCATAAATTCAGATGAACACACCCTTAGAAATAAACTCTAAACCAATGAGTTGGCCAAACTCCCTTCAAAATGGCAATCCTTGGTAGCATGTCTTTTCACTGTTTTTGAAGGTCAGAGACACTCACTCATGCTAGAAGTCAGTATTTGACACTACTAATTTATTGCTATAGTTATGTCTCTTTCAGTTCCTTCTTGACAATCCTGACTTTCCTGCTTTCCATTTGTGTTGGGGTTGTGCCTTTTTTTCCTTTTATTGGTTTATGGTATCTGTATTGGTTTATCAGCTGAACTGGTTAAATAAAACCTCTATAAAATGGTCCCAAAACAGATAGACATAGATTTGAGTAAAAAATAAATTCAGTGAATGGGAAGGACCGAAATAGCCCATCTCATGTAGGTACTGGGGACAACACTTTCAGCTACGCCCCAGTGCCTGTTAGACGGTGCTAGTCCTCAGCAATTAAAAGGTGGGTGTTAAATTCTAATGAAAAGTCACACCCTCACAAGAATTTGGAGCAAATACTTTGCTAGCTATGGCAAGTGCTGTTACTGATTTTGCCTGCAGTACCACTGTAAAGTTACTGCTCAGCCAAAGGGTCTGCAAGAAGATGGGGAAAGGCGAGGGGCCTCTTTCCCCCTGTCCTGGGACCTGGGAAACCACATCACCCCACTGCCTAACCAGCTGCTTACTGGCATTGCACCCACAAACAAATCCCTCACGCTTTCTGCCTCCACAAAGACGCCCTGTAATAATGTCCACGTTTTCTCTCTCCCCTAATTACACACTGCCAAGGTGAACAGAACGGCCTTTTTTTAACAGAGATCCTGTATTTTAAGCAGCAACGTGAGTACATTTGAAAAGGAAAAATACAAGGTATAAAAGCTTCCTGAAATAGCAGTGTGCGGCTTGCCCTGGCTGCGCTCAGGTGCAGCTATGCATTACTCCAGCTTTCTGATAACATCCTGTCTCCTGCGCTGAAGTTACCAAGGGGTCGCGAGGACGGTACTAAATCAGAAATGTGTAGCGGATTGGACTGGGCCAATCTCGACAGCAGCCAGCGGGGAATGGAATATAAATCACGCTAAGAAGTTAAAATAGCCGTCCCATTTGCAAAACAGCCACGGTATTTTCTTTAAGGGGGGAAAGAAAATAGTGTCCTTAAAAGGGGCCAGATTGGCAGGGTGGGATAATAAAAGAACTTCTGACTGTGCAAGTTTCTCCTGCCCCTGTGCTACGGTGCTGCTGCTCTGCCTGGTGCGGAGGAAGAAGGTTGGGGTGGGAGGCTCAGCAGCATTGGCCAGCTTACACATTCACCTGTAGTCTCCTTGCCCTGAACCTCCTGTCAGGGTGAAACTGTGCAGTTGCTGTGAAATCAGCCCAGTGGCACTTAATTTGTACCAAGAGTGAGTCACATCACCGAGACTGAAGTGGTGGCATGAAGGCTGCCCTGCCAGGCTCCCTGCAGGCAGGGGACAGTGCATTGCCTCTGCTAAGCCTGCCTGCAGCAATGCCAGCTGCAGGCTTTGTTCTCCTGCTATACTGAGACCCATCCTTGGGAAACAAAACAGAAACAGCAAGGTCATTGCAGGGCAAACAACAGCACACAGCATTGGGCATTGCTTACTTTGGCCACAGGTGAACTGAAGACAGAAGATGTCCTGCTCCACATGAGAAGAGCAGCAAGGGCTGGTGCAGCCAGGCATCACTGCCAGCTGCCAAGCACAGCATAAGCCCAGGGCCCTTCACCCAGAGGATTTGCACATTTTGGAGGAGGAATATGGAATGGGTGGCTGTTGCTAGATGACATTTCTAATGGTAGTTAGTAAGCTTGTTTTCTGGTTGCTGATTTCCTGACACAAATCAGAGATCAGTCTCAGTACCAGAGTGACTTGTTCTTCCTTATGTGAGAGATCTGAAGACTGATTCATAAATAATGGCTTAGGGGTGGCAGAAACGAGATAAATTGCTTTCATTAGAATTCGCATAAAACAGCAGCAGAGTCCCTGTTTGCCACCATGGATTGAACAAATGTGCCAGCATGCACGTTTTTCATTTTGCAGCCGCTGATATTATGAAGTTGTTCCTGGACGTAATAGCTTTGAATGTTCATTTTTTAAAGTAATTAATATGAAGAGTGATCCTGGAAAAAATTGCCTCACCCTCCATAAAGTTATTTGCAAGCTGTAGGCATCATTACTCTTTTGTGTGGATATTTTTTTTTAAATACTGACAAATGGACAATTTTAAATTCTTTAAGTGAAGAATTGCCTCCAAGATCTTTCTGGAAGCTCGGAGGAAATATACTTCGATGGTCCTATTTTATTAATGTGATAGTGCTGCACTCCCCATGCGATAGTGCTGCACTCCCCATGCATCTGCACCTGCTGTGTTAGAAAGAGGCTTTGCAGCAGCAAACCACAGAATGAGCTACACTAGGGGCTTGGGAGATTTCTTTTTCCACAGGAATAGTAACTTTACAATAAATTATTAACAGCTCCACCATTCTCAATGGTATGCGTCTTAGGCGATATCTCCCAAATGCAACTGTTTTAGAAAACAGCAGGTGAGAGATGGATACAGACTTGAGATGGGGCTTATCCGCCCCCATGGAGGTTTCCCCAAGAATGAACTGCTCAAGCTCTGTTCCTGTTAGGGTCATCAGAAAGAAAGAGGCACTCCAGATTTGGTTCATCCTACAACAGCAATCTAAGATGGGTTGGATAAACTCACTCACTGGCCACATGCAGAGCCTCTGGGAAAAAGCCCCAGCTTAGACTTCCATGCACCACAGGAATCGCTTTCTAAAATGACCATTTTATTCCTCCAAAAATTGAGCTGCCCTGAGAATTTATACTGGAAAAATATAAAATAGGTCAGTGGGGGTGGAGGCGCTGAGTTACCAGGAATGGACATTAGGAGCTCTGGCGCTCCAGCCCCAACTCCCAGATTTTGGCTAGCCAATCATGGAGAGCATCCAGCACCTGGACCAGGGCACTACCACTGCCGCTGTGCCTTCAGTGGAAATTTTGTCTACTAGGGCGCATGGAGATTAAGAAAAAATGTTGAGGGTTGGCAGCGGGCCGAGGTCTAAAATTTGAGCATGCTGAAGAAAAAGGCAGCTGTCTGCAAGAGCCAGCTGTAGGAATCTGTTTGATGGGTCAGGTTGGCATCCCTGAGTAAAATAAAAGATGGAAGAAAGCA